AGAAAAAAGCCGGAAGTGGCGCTGTGGCTCAAGTGGTAGAACACTAGCCTTGAGCTGAAGAGCTGAGGGACAGCGCCCAGGCCTAGAGTTCAGGCCCCACGACCGGACACCCCCCCCCAAAAAATACATTCCATACTCATAATAAAATATAGAAGTTATGAATTAGAAAGATGTCAAGCCATGTGCTAGTGGTTCACACCTGTAGTCCTTGTTTCTCTGGAGGCTGAGATATGAGGATTGTGATTCAAAGCCAGTCAGGGCGGGAAAGTCTGTGAGACTTTTTGTTGTTATTGTTGTTGTTGGTTGTGGGGTTTGAACTCTGGGCCTGAGCGCTGTCCCTCAGCTCTTTAGCTCAAGGCTAGTGCTCGACCACTTGAGCTACAGCACCACTTCTGGTTTTCTAGTGATTTATTGGAGATAGGAATCTCGTGGTCTTTTCCTGCCCCGGCTGGCTTTGAACCTCGATCCTCAGATCTCAGCCTCCTGAGTAGCTAGGATTACCGGCATGAGCCACCAGCGCCCGGCTTTTGTTGTTGTTGTTGGTTGCAGGGCCTGAATTCTGGGCCTGGTCGCTGTCCCTCAGCTCTTCAGCTCAAGGCTAGCACGCTACCATTTGAACTACAGCACCACTTCTGTCTTTTCTGCTTATGTGGTGCTGAGGAATCGAACCCAGGGCCTCATGCTTGCAAGGCAAGCACTCTACCACTGAGCCACCTTCCCAGCCCCAAGTCTGTGGTGAGACTCTTATCTCCAATTAATCACAGAAAAAGCTGGAAGTGATAGAGCACTAGCCTTGAGCAAGAGGAGCTTAAGCTGGGCACTGACACCTACTCAGGTGGCTGAAATCTGAGGATTGGTTCAAAGCTAGCCTGGGCAAAAAAGTTTGTAAGACTTTGAGTTCCAGTTAACTACTAGAAAACCAAAAATGGAGCTGTGGCTATAAGTGGTAGGGCATTAGCCTTGAGTGAAAAAGCTCAGGCAAAGTACCCAGGCCCTCAGTTCAAGCTCTATGACTAACAACAACAACAAAGAGCTCCACAGCGCCCAAGCCCAGAGTTCAGCATACAGGACTGACCAAAGAAAATGTCAGTGTGGTAGAAAGATCTTCAACTCAAGCTTAGAACACTTGTGGGTATTGTCCATCTCATTGGTTTTCCTCCACTAGGCCTTTATATGAGATGTCTAGTGTGATTCTTTTCACAGTGCCAGTTTGTGACTTTGAGACAAGATAAAATATGTGTCAAATAGTAAACATTCTGCTTCCTTCATTGAGAAAATTTTTCTATTTTTTAAAAAAGCACAAAGTATTATAGTTGATTTGCAGCCTGCAAAGTTCCTTAATCCCTCAGAAGTTGATAACTCAGAGGTAATAAGTCTGTAACTAACAATCTGGTTGATTTAGGAAGATAGCACATCAATTTCTAGCTCTTTCATGGAGTTTGCTTGTGCAGATATTCCTTTCATCCCATTTGCCTTTGCTAAATGTTGTCTCTCCCAAAACAGGTTCGCAATTCAGACCCTAATGATCCAAATAGAGAAATGGTTGTACAACTACTTGATGACTTTAAAATATCAGGAGTTAATGGAACACGTATCCTTCTGGGAATTTTCTTCATAAGTCATGAATTAGCTGTTGCTATAATAAATAGCAATTACTTTATTAATCCTGCAATAAGTTTATACCAAACAAATGAACTGGGTTTGTACAAATAGCATTGGTGTCTTTTCTCGAGGTAATAATTATAGATTGTGTGTATGTGTATGTGTATTTGTGTGTTTGTATGCGCCTTTCCTGTGGCTTAAACTCAGGACTTGGGTACTGTCCCTCAGCTTTTTTGCTCAAGGCTAGTAGTGTTCTACTATCTGAGCAACAGCTCTACTTCTGGCCTTTTCAGTACTTATTTGGAAATGTCTTATGGACTTTGTTGCTGAGACTGGCTTTGAATCATAATACACAAATCTCACCCTCCTGAGTAGTTATAGGCATGAGCCACCAGCACCCAGCTCAAGATTACCCCCTTTTATTTTATACTTCTAAATATAGATCTGAATTGTATGTTTTTGTGTAGTATGCTTTTTCAAGATACTGCTTTAATCTGATCTTCCCAGGAAAATTAAAAGAAATTTTTGTAGACATAGCTTTATAGCTGGGCACCAATGACTTATGCCTGTAATCCTAGCTACTCAGGATGTTGAGATCTGAGGATCATGGTTCAAAGGCAACCCAAACAGTCTGAGACTTATCTCCAGTTAACCACTTCCAGTGGCACTGTGGCTCAAAGTGGTAGAGCACTACTATCCTTGAGTGAAAAAGTTCAGGGATAGCACTCAGACCCTGAGTTGAAACCCCACAACTGACAAAAAAGGGAAAATAACTTTATTACTGATTAAATATTATATGTTCTTTATCAGTTAGCATGAAAGTTTTAAGTAATTTCATAATAGTAGATAAAACATTTAAGCCAGACACTGGTGGCTCACACATGTAAACCTAGCTGCTGAGGGGGCTGAGATCTGAGGATCTTGGTTTGAAGTCAGCCAGAGCAGGAAAATCTGTGAGACTCTTCAGTTAATCGCCAAAAAGCTGGAGTAGAACTGTGGTTCAACTGCTAAAGAGCTGGCCTTGAACAAAAAAGCTAGGGGTCAATTCATTTCTATCCTTTATCAGGAGTCATTGTACTTGTTACCTACTGTTCAGGGTCTTCTCTTGTTTTATATATGTCTGGGCATGATAATATGTGCCTGTCATCAGCTACAATTTGAAGTCTAGAATAGGCAGTGAAGGTGCACATGCAGGTAACAGTTCAGATTCTATCTCAAAAATAGCCAGTGCAAGAAAAGGCCAGAGGCACAAAAAAAAAAAAAAAAACCTCTTTGGGCTGGGATGTAGCTCAGTGGCAAAGCGCTTGCCTAGCAAGTGCAACGCCCTGCGTTCGATCCCCAGTACCAAAAAAGAAAAGACAAAAAAATACAGTTAAAAAAACCCAAACAACAAAAAAAGAAAAGGCCAGAGGCAAACCAGGTAGAGTACCTCCCTAGGAAACAGAAAGCCTTGAGTTCAAATCCCAGTACTACCCCCCAAAAAAGAAAAAAAAAATGTTGAGGACTGGAGACATATATAGTTCAATGGCCCTGTTTGCCACAAAGTCCTGATTTGATTCTCTTCCCCCACCTCCACCTTGCATCCCAGTGCTGGGGCTTGAAGTCTGGACCTGAGCTTTTGTGCTCAAGGCTAGCATCTTACCAATGGCTTCACTTCAGGATTTTTATTTGTTTGTTTATTTGTTTGTTTTGTAGTTTATTGGAGATAAGTCTCAGACTTTCCAGCCCAAACTGGCTTTGAACTGTGATCCTCAGATCTCAGCCTCCTAAGTAGCTTGGATTACAGACATGAGCCACCAATACCTGGCCTCTATAACTTTTTATAAAATTGAAAGAAATGCATTTTCACTGGGGTGGAATCTGCATGTAGTCTTGTGCTTCTTTTTTCCTCCTTAACCAAGTCCTAGATATCTGCATGGTATTTGAAGTTCTGGGACATCATCTGCTCAAGTGGATCATCAAATCCAACTATCAGGGGCTTCCACTGCCTTGTGTCAAAAAAATTATTCAGCAAGTATGTATCTTTATCTTTGCTATGTGGTAACTTCATGTGAAAGTATCTGGAGTTTTTATTTATTTATTCATTTATTTATATTGTGAAAATACTGTACAGAGGGCTTACAATTACATGGGCAAGATAATGAGTACATTTCTTATCAAGCATTGTAGCCTCCTCCTTTGTTTCCCCTTCCCATCCCTTACCATTCTCTCCCCACCCCCTCTATTTATTTATAACAGCTGTTTTTAAAACTTGGGATTTTGGGGCTGGGATGTAGCTCAGTGGCAAAGCACTTGCCTAGCAATTGCAATGTCCTGGGTTCGATCCCTAGTACCAAAAAAGAAAAGACAAAAAAAATACGGTTAAAAAAAAAAAACCTTGGGATTTTTTCATTGCTAATGTTAAATGCCAATATTCAATACTTACCATCTGTTTTGTTTGTTCTATATTAAAATATTTTAGCATATTCATTTTCCTGAACATTGTAATTATTAGAGGGGGAGTGTTTCCATAATTTTGTAAAATTGGAGATCTTATCTAAAAATTATGGTTATAGATATCAAGTATATTAGTAATGTAGATTTTTTTTTTTCCAGTCCTGGGGCTTGAATTCAGGGCCTGGGCACTATCTCTGAGCTTCTTTTGCTCAAGGCTAGCACTCTACCACTTGAGCCACAGAGCCAGTTCCTGTTTTTTCTGTTTATCTGGTACTGAGGAATCAAACACAGGTCTTCACTCGTGCTAAGCAAGCACTCTACCACTAAGCCACATTCCCAGCCAGTACCATCACTTTTATGTAGAATTACTCATGAGCATTTTCTTTCTTTTTTTTTTGTTGGTCGTGGGGCTTGAACTCTGGGCTTGGGTGCTGTCCTGGTGCTCTTCAGCTCAAGGTGAACATTCTACTGCTTGAGCCACAATGCCACTTCAGGTTTTCTAGTGGTTTATTGGAGATAAGTGTCTCATGGACTTTCTTGCTTGGTCTGTCTTTGAACTGTTATCCTCAGATCTTAGCCTCCTGAGTAGCTAGGATTAAAGGTATGAGCCACCAGTGCCCAGCTTTCTTTTTTTGGTCTGTAGTAGGGTTTGAACTCTGGGCCTGGGTGTTTTTCCTAAGCTCTTCAGCACAAAGCTAGCGCTCTACCACTTGAGCCACAACAGCGCCACTTCCGGTTTTCTGATGGCTAATTGGAGATATGAGTGTCATGGACTTTCCTGCCCACACAGCTCCTGGGTAGCTAGGATTATAGGCGTGAGCCACTGACGCCTAGCTCCTGGGCATTTTCTACATAGTCTTAGATAGATTATATAGAATTTCACCCTCAAGAAAATGTTCAAGGGACAAATGTCTAGGAAACAAGACATTTCTTCATCAGTGAGGAAATTTATGTTAAAAGATATCTAAGGTTGCCAGGCGCCAGTAGCTCATGCCTGTAATCCTAGCTACTCAGGAGGCTGAGATGTGAGGATCGAGGTTCAAAGCCAGCCCGGGCAGGAAAGACTGTGAGACTCCTATCTCCAATAAACCACTAGAAAACCGAAAGTGGCGCTGTAGCTCAAGTGGTAGAGTGCTCACCTTGAGCTGAAGAGCTGAGGGACAGCGCCCAGGCCCAGAGTTCAAGTCCCATGACTGACAAAAAAAAAAAAAGGTATCTAAGGTTGGACACAGTGATGCAATCCTAGCGTCTCTGGAGACAGTTAAGAGAATCCTGGTTTGATTCTAGCTCTGGCAAAAAGCATTCTCAATACAAATAGGCCTATAATCCCAGCTATTGAAGAGGCATAGGCAGGAGTATAACTGTCTTGAGGTCGCCTTAGGCAAGATATAAGATCCTCCCTTAAAAGTAGGTAAAATAAGTCAAGTCAGCGGTGGCTCACGCCTGTAATCCTAGCTACTCAGGAGGCTGAGATCTGAGGATCATGGTTCAAAACCAGCCCAGGCAGAAAGTCTGTGAGACTGGTATCTCCAATAAACTACTCAAAAACTGGAAGTGGCGCTGCAGCTCTTGCCTTGAGCTGAAGAGCTGAGGGACACAGCCCAGGCCCAGAGTTCAAGCCCCATGACTGACAAAAAAAAAAATTAGGTAAAGTATGAAAGTGATAGAGCACTGAGCTCTTGAGCTCAATTCTTAGTAACACTAAAAAAAGGATATCTAAACCACTGTTACTGTGTTTTCAGTTCTCAAAAGGGGTATTGAGTCTCAGTCTTTATGACACACCAAGTTAAAGAAAACTTTCAAATTACTGAGTTCTGGTTGCTCATACCTGTTATCCTAGCTACTCAGGATGCTGAGATCTAAGGAGCATGGTTTGAAAGCCAGCCTGGGCAGAAAAGTCCCTTATCTCCAGTTAACCACTCAAAAACCAGAGGTGGAAGTATGGTTCAAATTGGTAGAGCCCTAGCCTTGAGCATAAAGAGCTCTGAGTTCAAGCCCCCAGGAGTGGCACCAAAAAAAAAAAGAATGAGTTTTGTAAGATTTAGAAGCTTATAATGAATCTTTCTGAGGAATTTGTTTTTGGGGGAGAGGTCAATCATAGGGCTTGAACTCAGGTCCTTGGCACAGACCCTGAGCTCTTTTGCTCAAAACTAGTATTCTACCACTCTGAGCCACAATGCCACTTAACATTTTCTGGTGGTTAATTGGAGAAATGAGTCATGGTTTTTCCTGCCAGGGCTGGCTTTGAACTATGATCCTCAAATAACAGCCTCCTGAGTAGCTAGGATTGCAGGCATGAGTGACCAGTGATGGGCTCTTTCTGGGGAATTTCTTTGTGCTTTCCCTTTTTTAATTTTGTGTTGAGATGTAATCCTTTTCAAGAAAGACATGCCCTTTTTTTTTTTTTTGGGTGGTCATGGGGCTTGTACTCTTAGGTTTGGGCCCTGTCCTTGCACTCCTTAGCTCAAGGTGAGCACCCTACCACTTGAACCACAGTACCATTTCCAGTTTTCTAGTGGTTTATTGGAGATAAGAGTCTCATGGACTTTTCCTGCCTGGGCTGGCATTGAACTTCGATTCTCAGATCTCAGTCCCCCTGAGTAGCTAGGATTACAGGAGTGAGCCACCAGCACCCGGCATGCATTTTATTTTTACAAGTCTACTGTCCTCTATTTTTTTTAATTCAGGTATTACAGGGTCTGGATTATTTACACACCAAGTGCCGTATCATCCACACTGACATTAAACCAGAAAACATCTTGTTATCAGTGAATGAACAGTATATACGAAGGCTAGCTGCAGAAGCAACAGAATGGCAGCGATCTGGAGCTCCTCCACCTTCTGGGTCTGCAGGTATGTGGAGGAGAGGGAATCTTTGCTCTCAATAATTAAGGGTGATTTCTATTTAGATTCTGTTACTAGGCAGTTAAACACTACTCAGTCATTTAACAAAAATATTTAAGAAATAGCATCAGCCCTCACAAGGTTTTTTATTCTCATTATCAATATAAGAATAGAGATTTTTGTGTCTTTCAACTAAAGATATGTTCTAAAGTAGCTAACTTGCATTGTTTAAGATTGTTTTTTCGGGCTAGGAAGGTAGCTCAGTGGTAGAGTGCTTGCCTTGCATGCCTGAAGCCCTGGGTTCTATTCCTCAGCACCACATAAGCAAAAAGAAAAAAGCCAGAAGTGGCACTGTGACTCAAGTGGTAGAGTGCTAGCCTTGAGCTGAAGAGCTGAGGGACAGCGCCCAGGCCCAGAGATCAGGCCCCACGACTAGACCCAAAAAAAAAAAGATTGTTTTTTCATTTGATAGATTTAGGGTGGGAGGCTGATGATTTTTTCCTTCAGACTAGGGCTGTGTAGCCCAGGCTGGCCTCACTCTTGAAGTCTTCCTGGTTCTTGATGACCATTTCGTTTATATTTATTGTATTTGACCACCTATACTCATTTATGAATTAGTACATAGGAGCTTGATGACATTGCTGTTAAAAATTTTGGGGTTAGCAAGTACCGTGACTCATGCCTGTGATCCCAGCTTTTTGTGAGGCAGAGGTCAGCTTTGGCAAAAGGTTATTAAGACCCCCAACTCTACCAATAACCCAGTCATGGAGGAATGCACTATAACCCCTACATAGGAGACTGAAAGTAAGTAAGAAGATCACAGACCCAGGAAAAAGTGCTAAACTCTATCCAAAAAATGACTAAGGAAATGGAAGTATATGGCTTAAATAGTAAGTAAATCATCACTTTGAGTAAGCAAGCCAAGTGCAGCCCCTGAGTTCAAGCCCCAATACCAACAAAAAACAGGCTGGGACATGGCTTTCGTGATAGAGCAAGTGGTTCAGTCCCCAGTATTATTAAAAACAAAACAGTGTAAGCCGGGCGCTGGTGGCTCACGCCTGTAATCCTAGCTACTCAGGAGGCTGAGATCTGAGGATCGCGGTTCAAAGTCAGCCCAGGCAGGAGAGACCGTGAGACTCCTATCTCCAA